TTGGAAAGCAATTATAAGGGTTCTTAGATATCTCTGATTTACTCGTAACACTGGGCTTAATTGTACTAGATATCCAGCAGTACTTTAAGGATACTGTGATGCAAATTGGATATCGGATACTAGAGACTCGAAGTCCACCAGTGGATATGTCTTTACTCTTGGTGGGGCGGCTGTATCTTGGAAATCTTCCAAACAGACTTGTATTACTAGGTCTACTATGGAATCAGAATTCATAGCTTTAGACAAATCTGGGGAAGAAGCAGAATGGCTTCGCCACTTCCTTGAAGATATTCCAATATGGCTAAAACCGGTGCCTGCTATATGCATACATTGTGATAGTCAATCAACAATTTGTAGAGCCATATGTATAACGGTAAGTCACGACACATTCGTCGTAGACATAATACCATAAGACAACTACTCTCTAATGGAATTATTTCCATTGATTATGTAAAGTCTAAAGACAACAAAGTGGATCCACTAACCAAAGTGTTAGCAAGAGAGTTAGTTAAGAATTTATCGAGAGGAATGGGACTTAAGCCTATTAAATAAGAGTTACCATAACGGCAACCCAACCTAGTTGATTGGAGATCCCAAGATCTAGGTTCAAAGGGACAACCGAGTTGTGAATAACTCAGAAGGATCACTGGGGAGTCTAACTCCTACCCATTTCTTTGATGAAATAGTGATGTCTACAGCGTTAAAGGTTAAGTAAAATTTTAATGATTCTTATATCTAGGTAAACCTAGTGGAGTATGGCAGGATACTCTTCATAAGAATCACCTATGTGAGTGTGAACTGGGCCAGTTCTATAAGATTTGTGAAGGGCTACAAGTCTTTAGAGCACTCATGAAAGACTAGGTTGTTCAGGGCCAAAATGAACACAATAGTGAGAACTAAACTGTGTTTGGGGATATGCTGTGTGAGTTCTATTGTCTTAGTTTACACAAACGGCTGAACAGTTTAAGACATCATGTTCACTTGTTAGCTAGTAAATCCGATAGTGTCTCACAAGGGAAGGTTCAAAGCCAAAAGCTACCTATCCTTTGCAGAATATTTCCAATTTCTGTACTCTCTGTAATAGATCATGTTATTACATTTTCTCTCCGTCAAATTCCATTCATGTGGGGAATTGTTGGAAAAATGGTTTAATATAGGCATATTGTTTGAGCCCAATTTGAGTGGGCCCCAAACGTATTTTGGGATGGGTCCTAAGAGGTGAAGTGTTCCTTGCCGCGTGGCAAGTCACACGGTGACGACGGTTCGTCAAAACCATTTATGAGTGAATGGAAAGTTGACGTCATTTTTGGGTTTAACATTAATTTTTTAGATAAAATTCTTTTGAATTTTTTCAATAAAAAAAAAATTGTGTGAGAATTTAATTTAATTCTAAATTCTATTTTAGATTCTTAAGTGGTTTCCTAAAGTTTGTAACTCTTCATTTATTTATTAAACTATGTCAATGATTTAATATATATATATATATATATTTGAAATAGTTTACATAATAAAGTACCTTAAGTTTCTTTGACTTGGTTAAGTTTCTTTGACTTAGTCAACGAACGAATCTTTTTTCAAAATTGTGTGGTATAGCTGTTCCAAAAGATGCAAACGGATAGATTCGGTTTTTATGAACTGCAATGAATCTGTTTGACATTTCAAAAAAAGTATCTGTCACACTTTTTGCACCTGTTCAGCCTACCGGCACCTTTTCGGGGCTGTGCAAATTTTGCCTATAAATACTGCCTTGATTCCAGCAGTCTTTACACCGGAAATTTAGTCTGAAACTGTCTCATTTTGTTGTCCAAATTTTTTTATTTGCATTATTTCTTCATATTAGTTTTAGAGATAATATTAAGAGAGTATAGAACACTGGGTTTGGTTTGCCGTACAATTTTGTTTGGTGTGCTACAACAATTTTGTGAAGATCATTGTATCCTGGGAGATAGACGCCACTCAACCGTAAGCACCGTAGCGGGGCGAATCTGTCTTAAGGACAGAGTGTCACACACTTGACTTGGTCTTAATTTTAATTCGGTTCGATAAATAAATCCGGTACGTTATTTATTTATTTTGTTTGAATTTATTTCAAGTTATTTTATTTACACAGAAGATTGTTCCAACATATATTAGATAACGTTCAATTTATTTGTTTATTTTTTTTATATTTATTGATTAACAGTTTATTTGTACATGACAAGAAGATTACAAAAAATATTGAAATTGAAAAAAAAAAGAAAAAATAAGATAAGATACCTTGAAAAATTATGTACAAATATAGTTTTAAATTTGATTAAGCAAATAAAAATAAATTTATAAATAATAAGGAGGACACCAAAAGTTATTAAAATTAAAATTAGATATTTAAACTTTTTTCATGATCTTTCTCCCCAGTTCTCTCTCAATTTCTTTTTATTATTTTTATTTTATTTTTCATTTATTATGATATATAATAAGAAGTTATATTATATGATAAGGAGATTCTAAAATAGTTTAAAATTAACAACATAAAAGAGATAGGATAGCTATAAAATTATGTATGAGTAGCATATAATTTTCAATTTATTTGTTATATCAGATAAGGTTCAATTTATTTGTTTATTTTTTATATTTATTGATTAACAAGACTCCAAAAAATATTAAAATTAAAAAAAGAAAAGAAAATAAGATACCTTGAAAAATTACGTACGAATATAGTTTTAAATTTGATTGAGCAAATAAAAAATAAATTTATAGATAATAAGGACACCAAAATTTATTAAAATTAAAAATAGATATTTAATATTTTTTATGATCTATTTGGATTGTTCTTAAAATAAATAAATAAATAATTTAAAATATACTTGAAGAAAAATTATTATTTTAATATTATATATATATATATATATATTTTGGAGTTACCTGTGCATTGTGTGTGCTCACTGCTAGTACTATTATTAAGTGAAGGCTGGACTTAGGCCTGTTTGGCATCCTAAAAAAAGTTCAAAAAGTCAAAATGTTACTAAAAAAGTTAAAAAATTATCACTATTCACAAATTAAAAATATAAAAAAATTAATTTACACAATATTTTAATACAAACCAACTAGTTGACGTGACTGGTACTGAATTGATAGAAATGCACTTATTGGTCTGTCAAAGGAATAAAAAAGAAAATTAGGTATATATATTCATTAAGTTGGAGGGTAATGTTGGGCCAGTGGGAGCCTATCACGGGTCCCCTTTTGATAATCCGAACCGTTCAATGTGTAGAACTCGTCGAGTATTATATGTTTATAAAAAATCACGTTAATCAGATATTGATAGCTACATGATTAAATCAGTTTTGTATAAAAAATGGATGGTTTTATAGTTAACAGTTGGCAAACAATTAACACGATTAGATAGCTATCGATATCCGATCAACGTGATTTTTTACAAACATATAGTAGTCGACGATTTCTACACATTGAACGGTTTTGATTAGCAAAATCGGACTCGTGGTGGGCCCACACGGGCCGAACAACACCGTCCAATTCAAGCCCGAAAAGGAGGCAACCATTTCCTATCTCCTAATCAGCCCACTGCTCTGCCGAACTGTATTAGCTATTTCACTAACTTCTCCTATACACTTATTTATACAATTTTTAAATACACATTTTTTCATAAAAAGTCAAAAAGTTAACACAAATATCTATATTTTTTCTTCAATTTTTTAGTCCAAAGGGACAAGACTAAAAAATTGAGGAAAAAAATATGGATGTTTGTGTTAACTTTTTGACTTTTTATGAAAAAATGTGTATTTAAAAATTGTATAAATTAATGTGTATGAGAAAATTAGAATTGAGAGTTGTGCAGTCGTAATTTTTGACTTTTGATGAATAGTGATAACTTTTTGAATAACTTTTTGACTTTTTTACTTTTTAACAACTTGCCAAACTTGACCTTAGTGTCCAAATCTTATCCTCATACCACGTGATAGATTTTTCTATCTTAAAATAAAAAAGTTATTTTACAGATGCATAAGTAAGGTTTGAACTCAAAATCTTTAAAAAAAAAATTTATGTACACTCTTACCACTTAATTAACATACAGATATTATTTTTTTTATTATTTATTTTTATTTTTACTTATTTAAATTACACTTATATTCCACCTACTAATATACATTATAAATCATCGGTGGACATAATTCGGTTCATGTCAACAAAAAATTATGCAGTGATCTTGGGGGTATTTTCACATAGCGCCCAACTTGATATAATTGATTGAAATGGTTAAACTTTTATTGCCATCGGTCCATGTTGCAGTGATTTTGGGGCATTGCGTGTCCAAATTGTTAAACTTTATATTTTTTATTAGGTTGCTAGGAAACAACAATAAGGCCAAGTTTGGGTACTTCTAAAAAAGTTAAAAAGTCAAAAAGTTACTCAAAAAGTTAAAAAGCTAACACTATTCACCAAAAGTCAACAATTACGGCTGCACAACTCCCAATTCAAATTTTTTCCTACAAATCAATTTTTACAATTTTTTATTACATATTTTTCAATAAAAAGTCAAAAAGTTAACCCAAATATTCATATTTTCAACCTCAATTTTTTAGTCCAAAAAGACAAAAAGTGCACTTTTTTAGTCTTCCCAAACTTGGCCTAAGTGTCAAGTATTTAATGGTGTGGTGCAAAATTCCTGAATCACCAAATAACCTTTCCATAGCATTTTATTTGGGAAAATAGTTAAGTTAAAATAATATAGCATTTTGTTTGGGAAAATAGTTAAGTTAAAATAATATAATAAAAAATAAAATAAATTAAAATAATTAATAAAATAAAATATCATATCTAACGCATAATTACGTCACTTTTCTTTTTACAACTAGCAAATGGACTACAAAAAATAAAAAAAAAAGCCAACCAACTTTTTAAATTTAACTTTTTTTAATCAAATTAAAATAATTAAAAAATTAAATAGCCAATTAAAATAGTGAACGTACCAAACAAAACCAAGGTGGCCTTGTGCACATCACCACACCCAATCATTGCCTCCAAAAGTTTTAACCCTAAACCCATCTCCCCCTTCAGATTATTACTCTCCTCCATCTCTTATCCTCTCGATCTCTCTCACTCACGGTGCTTCTCTTCGCCAGCGGCTCCCCTACGCCTCAGGCAACGATCCTTCTTAAGGCAAGTCTGATCTCTCCTCTCTCCCACACTGCAAACCCCCCTCACTTCCCATAAATCCCACTACCTAATCATAACTTGGACTGGTTGTTTATACGGATACACACAGAAACAGCACAAAGAGAAACAGTGAGAGAGCTAGAGAGATAGATTAGATCTTCATTTTGAAGGGCTTTTCAGGGAGACATGGCTCCTCAGTCATCAGGTAAATTTAAGGGCACATGACATACCTTCTTTCTTTTGTTCCTCTTTGTCTAGCATGATGTTTGATTACCATTTTTAAATGCTAGTTGGTTTTTATTTTCCAATTAGTTTCTAAATCTTGTAATGTGTTTTAATATTTTCATTTTTTTAAATGTTTGTACGGTTTGTTATTAAATAGGTTCTACGTACTAGAATTTTTATGGCATGAGTTGAGTCGGAAAAAATAAATAAAGGTATGCTTTGCTCTTCCTTGTGCTTTGTTAATGTTTATTTTACATATTCAATTAAAGGTTAATTATGCCTTCTATCTCGTAGTTTGATTCAAATTTCATTTTTGTCGCAATAATTTCAATTTGAACAATTTAATTTGTACGCTTTTAAGTGTATTTAATTCGGTCATTCTGTCCAAATTGGAGGTTGAAGTTAACACTTTAATTTTTTTTTTATTTTTATATTTATTTTTTTGTAGACGATTGAAATTTGCACGCAGACAATAGAGACTAAAGTGAAATTTTGGTCAAATTATAGGGGTGAAAAGTGTAATCAACCTTTCAATTAAATACTTGCTTTTCAAAGTTGTGAAACTTAGGACATGTTTGGTAACTTTTGTGTTTGCAGTTTTCTGTTTATGTTTATAAAAAATTTGAAAACTATAAATAAAGCTAGTTTGGTATTTATTTTTTATTTTAAAAACTTGTAAACACTTCATAAAATCTACTAAATTTTTCTAACCAAAAAAAATATTGGTTTCACTTACTACCAAATCAACACTTGTTAATTTTTTAAGGTGTACACGTAGACAAAATTGAAATTTGCATGTAGACAATAGAGGCTAAAGTGAAGTTTTGGTCAAATTATAGCGGTGAAAAGTGTAATCAACCCTTCAATTAAATACTACTTTTCAAAGTTGTGAAACTTAGGACATGTTTGGTAACTTTTATGTTTGCAATTTTCTGTTTATATTTATAAAAAATTTGAAAACTATAAATAAAGCTAGTTTGGTATTTATTTTTGTTTTCAAAAATTTGTGAACACTTAATAAAATCTACTAAATTTTTCTAGCCATAAAAAAAATAGGTTTAAGTTATTTAGCAAAAAGGTTTTATTTTATTTAATTCCCCCATGTGGTGTTGGCCAAGGTTGCGGCCTGTGTTGTGACATGCTGGCCAAGGTTACGGCCTGTGCTGCTGGCCAAGGCTGCGGCCTGTGCTGTAGCATGCTAGCTAAGGCTGCGGCTTGTGTTGTTTGCCAAGGCTGGGGCCTGTGTTGCAGCATTGCGCTGGGGTTTGTTGGTTTGCCGGGGAATGGCACTCGTCGCCCTCGGAGGGGCTCTGAGTGCACTCCCGACGAGAGGCAACAGGAGGGAGCCAACGACCCACCTCCTGCTTCCCCAGCGGTAATATGACAAGTTTGCAGGTTGTTCTGCTACGCATGCATTGACAAGGATCCTTCCGCAGGTTCATCTACGGAAAACTTGTTACGACTTCTTCCTCTGGCATCACCCCCCTTAGGCATAGTTTACCATCTTTCGGGTCCCAACAGGCATGCTCACACTTGAACCCTTCTCAGAAGATCAAGGTTGGTCGATGGTGCCTAGGTAGCATGGCATGCCTGCGGCCTAGGCAGCATGGCTGTCTGGCATGCGCGCGGCTGTGGCAGTGTGGCATGCGCCCCTTCAGGGCGGCATAGCAGCATCGCATGTGCGCGGTCCATGGCCGCAGCCTTGGCTAGCATGTTGCAGCACAGGCTGCAGCCTTAGCCAGCAGCATAGGCCGCAGCCTTGGCTGGTAACATAGGCTGCAGCCTTGGCCAGCATGTTGCAGCACAGGCCGCAGCCATGGCCAGCATGCTTCGCACAATTGGTCCTTGCAATTGCATTGGCACGATGCTACCGTGCGCTGGATTATGATTGAACGCCTCTAAGTCAGAATCCGGGCTAGAAGCGACGCATGCGCCCACCGTCTGCTTGCCAACCCGCACTAGGGGCTGCGGCCTGTGCTGCTGCATGCTTGCCAAGGCTGCGGCATGCTAGCCAAGGTTGCGGCCGGTGCCAGCCACTTGCTGCCTTAGCTGCGGCTTGCGCTACTGCCTTGGCTACGTCCTGGGCTACGGCATACGCTGTGGCCTGTGCTACTGCCTTGGTTGCGGCTTAGGTTGCGGCATGCGGTGCTGCCTTGGTTGTGCTGCCTTGGCTGTAGCTTGTGTTACGGCATGTGCTATTGCCTGGGCTATGGCCTGCGCTACAGCCTTGCTCTGCTGCCTGGGCTGCGGCCTGTGCTGCTGCATGCTGGCCAAGGCAGTGGCTTGTGCTACAGCATGCTGGTTAAGGCGGCAGCCTGTGCTGTGGCCAGTAGCACATGTCGCAGCGTTGGCCAGCAGCACAGGCCACAGCCTTGCCCAGCAACATAAGCCGTAGCAGGTTTGACATGCTGCCAAGGTCGCGCGCAGGCCAGGTTGCCAAGCTGCCTAGGCTGCGAGCATGCCAATCTGCTAAGGCCGTGCACAGGCTATGCAGCCATGCTGGCTAGGTCGCGAGCATGCCACGCTGCCTAGGCCGCTCGCAAGCCAGGCTGCTATGCTGCCCAAGTCTGCGGGCTTGACAGGCCATCCGGCCCCCAAAGGCACTCGCAAGCCAGGCTGCTATGCTGCCCAAGTCTGCGGGCTTGACAGGCCATCCGGCCCCCAAAGGCACGTGTCATTAGTGTAGCTCGCACGGTAGATGAGCCGAGCGGGCCCCTTGAAGTACAATTCTTATCTCGAGCGGCGGGTAGAATCCTTTGCAGACGACTTAAATACGTGACAAGGTATTGATCCACTAGGAATGAATCAAACTTCTTATACTATTGTCTCGGCGCGTGCTTCAGGCCATAAACTCTTCTTTAGTTTGCAGACTAGATTTTCTTTTCCTTTAACTTCAAATCCTTCTGGCTACTCCATATAGATCTCTTCCTCCAAATCACCATGGAGAAAGACAATCTTGACATCCATCTGTTCTACCTCCAGATTCAAGCAAGCTGCTAATCTTAGAGCTACTCGAATGGAAGTCATCTTCACAACTAGGGAGAAGATCTCATCAAAATCAATTCTTTTTTTTGCCCAAAACCCTTGACAACCATGTGAGCTTTATGTTGAAGTAGTTTTCCGTTGCCATCTTTCTTCAACTTATACACTCATTTGTTTTTCAAGGCTTTCTTGCCTCTTAGAAGTGGAACAAGCTCATAAGTGTGGTTCTTTTGCAAAGAACTCATCTCCTCTTTCATGACTTACATCCAATAGTCTTTTTTTGTATGACTCTTTGCTTCTGAAAAACTCTTGGGCTCCCCCTCATCAGTAATCAAAATATATTGAGAAGCGGGATATTTGGTTTACGGCATGACAGCTCTTTCAGATCTCCGCAACTGAGGCCTAGTTGCCTCTAGTTGAAGGGGTCGCTCCCCCTACTCAACACCCTTTTCATCCTGGTCTTCATCTCTTTTCTCTTGATTCTCAATTTTTGGCATAGGATCCTGCAACTTTGGCACTTCTTGTTGCACATCATCACATCTAGCATTTTGTGATGGCTCTAGAGGCGAAAACAAGTCTGGAGTGATAACAACTCTAGACTTTGCTGATTTCTCAAAATTTGCAATGGCATCATGGAACACATCTCTGCTCCTGAACATCTTTTTGTTCACTGGGTCCCACAACTTGTAGCCAAATGTTGCATCTGAATAGCCCACAAATATACATGAAGTGGACTTGTCATCAAGCTTCTGTCTGTTTTCCTTGGAGATGTGTGCGGAACGCCTTACACCCGAAGACTCTCAAGTGAGAATATGATACCTTTCTTCTGGACCAGACTTCCTCAGGTATTGCAAAATTCAACGGGACTGAAGGTGACCTGTTGATGAGATAACAAGCTGTTCGGGCTGCCCAGAGTGACTTTGGCAACTTTGCCATTTTGAGCATGCATCGGACTCTTTCAACAATAGTGCGTTTCATCCTCTCTGCCATACCATTGTGTTGTGGGGTACCGGGAACTGTTGTCTTGTGCCTGATACCTCTACTGGCACAATATGCTTCAAAAGCATTGGAAGTGTATTCGCCTCCATTGTCTGTGCGAAGACACTTCAACTTCTTACCAGTCTCTCTTTCCACCATTGTATGGAACTTCTGCATGTGCTGGAATACATCATCCTTCGTCTTCAGGAAATACACTCACAATTTCCTTGATGCATCGTCAATGAAAGTCAGAAAATGCTTGCGGTCGCCAAGTGACTCCACTTCGATTGGGCCACAAACATCCGAGTATACCATGCTGAGAATTTTTGTTTTCCTCTTGTTGAACTGAATGATACTCGATGCTGCTTGCCATAAGGACAATGATCACACGACTTCCAAGCACTCCCTTTGGATAAGGGTATCTTGGATTTGGGAACAGATGCAATCCTTTCTCACTCATGTGAGCCAATCTTCTGTGCAATAAGTCTGGTGACCCCTTGTTTTCTGCTCAATTAAGACTTCCCAGACAAATCTTTGTTTGAGTCTTGTATAGTGTTGAAGACATCTCTCCTCTGGCGATTGTCAAAGCTCCTCCTGTCAGCTTCCAACGGCCATTTCCGAAGGTACTTGTATAGACTTGTCGGTCCAAGGCTCTTCCGGAGATAAGATTGAGGCGCAAATCTGAAACATGCCTCACATCTTTGAGAACCAGTTTGTGTCCAACATTAGTCTGAATACTAATGTCTCCAATACCCCGAATCTTCGAATAGCTAGAATTCCCCATTCAAACAGTGCCAAAATCTCCAACGTTGTACGAGCTAAAGAGTTCTCAGTGCAAAGTGGTGTGATAGGATACAACTGTGTCTATCATCCACTCTGTACAGCTGTGGTCAGCCACGTGAAGGCAATCCTCCTCTTCACCAACTGCAAGAAGTATTTCATCAGTTGTTGTGGCTGTCGTGTTCTCATCTCCCTTTGACTTACTGCTTTGGCTTTTATCTTTCCGGCTTGGGCTGTTCCTCTTGATGTGACCCTTCTGGCCACAGTGAAAGTAAGTGAAGTTAGAGTTACCTTGACTTTTACTATCTTTGGACTTATTCCTATTGTTCCATCTGCCTCTACTCTTGCTTCTTACTCTACCTCTTCTTCTACCTCTATCTCTGCCTCTATCTTCTGTAACAAGAGCATGGGACAGATGACCTCCTATGTCTTTCCTCTTTGTCTCTCCATTGTACATGGTGTCTGTGACCATACTCATGGTCAGCTTCCCTTCTGGTGTAGAGTTGCTGAGAGAAACCATTAACGCCCCCCAGCTGTCCGGTAAAGAACTGAGCAGTAGTACGACTTGCATTTCATCGTCCAAGGGCATCTTGACGGTTGCAAGTTGGTTCACCAAATTCTTGAATTTACTGGTGTGCTCGGCGACCGACACACCATTCTTCAACTTCAGATTTACAAGCCTTCTCATCACCAAGGCTTTGTTTTGGGTCTTTGACTGGTACATTCCTTCTAACATTATCCAGAGGACATATGCATCTGTCTTCTGGGCGACATGGTGGAACACACTGTGGTCTATCCATTGTTTGATCTGACTGACAGTCTTCCGGTTCATGTTTATCCAGTCTTCATCCTTCTCTGCTTCTGGTTTAACCCCTTTTAGAGCAATAGGGTCAAACAGGTCTGTACAGTATAGGACGTCTTCCATCTGCGGCTTACAGATTCCATAATTGGAAGCATTCAACTTTATCATAAATCTTGAAGTTGATGTGGATTCCTCCATCGTCTTCTTACTTGTACAAAAAATCTGAATTTGGACAAACGGACTACACTGTTGAGTCCGGAATGGTCAAATTAGCTAGAAAAGCACTTCTCCACTTTTTTAGGGACCTCAATAAAATTTCTTCAAACTCAAGGGGCTGAATTGCAATTTTAGAAACTTCAAGGGCTGAAATGCAATTTATCACAACTTCAGGGGCTAAATTGCAATTTCAGAAACTTCAAGGGTTGAAATGCAATTTATCATAACTTCAGGGGCTAAATTGCAATTTTAGAAACTTCAGGGCTGAAATGCACTTTACCATAACTTCAGGGGTGAAATGCAATTTACCAAACTTTAGGGGCTAAATTGTAATTCTAGAGACTTCAGGGACTAAAATGCAATTTACCATAACTTCAGGGGCTAAATTGCAATTTTAGAAACCCTGCTGATGCAATGATGACATCACAGTGACATCAGCTTTCTTCTTCAAATGCTTCGCCAAAATGAAATTTTAGGCGAAATTTTGGCGAATCTTTGGCAAGCTCTATGGCACTCGTTTTAGTTCTGATTTTGACGAATTTCATATCGTCGGAATCGTATCGAAGAGACGCACCTCTTGGTGTGCTCAAAAATTGATTTCGAGTAACTTCGAAATTTGACAATTTTTGAAAAGCACTGTTTTTCTCCAACTGAGGCTCTGGTATCACTTGTTAGGATTAGGCACACTTAGAAATCAATCACACACATAGAAAGGAGACACGAGATTTACGTGGTTCGGTGAGAGATTACTCACTATAGAATTATCCCGAATGGAGATTACAACTCACACCTCAACCCTCTATAGAATTCACTCTCTTACACAGATTATACCCTCTGTGTTTGTTGCTTGTGTTCTGTGTTGTCTGTTTAATCCCTTCCTCATCGCCTCAATTTATACACAAATGAGAGAGAAACAAAGTCAAGGAAGAGGAGTAATTGGGAGGGCTACCACCTGTCTGTTGGAAAAATTGGTTTTATAAGGCTTATTTTGGGCTAACTTTGAGCCCAAAATTGAGTGGGCCCTAAACGTCTTTTGGGGTGAGTCCGAAGAGGTGACGTGTTCCGTGCCGCATGGCAAGTCACACGGTGAAGACGGTTCGTCAAAACCATTTATGAGTGAATAGGAAGTTGACATCGTTTTCGGGTTCGTGGAATGGACAATTAAAGAAGTAAATGTGGGTTTCCTTGAAATGGGTTATCCCACATTGAAACTTTAATATAACTTTTGTGGATATATAAGCTCTTGGTGTACTAACTTGGGTTGGGCCCCAAGGGGCACCCCAAGTTTGTAGAAAGGAGGAGTTATGGACAAATGCAACCTTGGCTCAAACCACCACACGCGCGCGCGCCGCAGTCCGTCGGACCGGCCGGCCAAACCGAGCTGTGCCGGACGCGGGTGTGGGTTGGGTCGGTTCTAATATTAATTTTATTTGAATTCTCCCAGAAATTCTTAATGAAATTAAATTCCAATTTTGTGCCAAAATTGAAATTAATTTTCTGTCCAAAATTTTATCACTTTCAGTTCGAAATTCCACATAGAACTGCTGGTGGCAACGAAAGATATCAATGACCATAGGATACAACTATTTCCAGATTTGTCAAGCGTCTACTTGTACATCGGAAGTGGGGGAACCATATCCATCAAAGTTTCCCCGTTGCAATGTATACCTAAGCCTTTGATTGAAACTGAACTTTCGATTCGTACGTATTCATTCATCAATGCTTTTTTTTTTTTCTTTTCCTTTTTCTTTTTCTAGATTGGTTGATTAATTTAATGCTTCGATAATGTTTGTTTGTAACTTGTACGATCATCAGCAATTTAATGGTAGGTTGCAGTGCAGAAGTAATAGAAAGCCTCTTTCAAATAGTAAATGCTTCGCCAATCAATGAGCTGATTGATTTAAAGCAAAGGGCAAGATCAAAAAAATGGTGGTAAGGACAAACTAAAAAATTTCTTTTTAGATAATATAAATCACATGACAATGCAAAGCCATTCAATCTCATGTAGACATTCTAAGCTCAGACAAATCTTTCATGACCTATGAGCTATATGAAATACATTTTTTTCACTGTTTTTTTTAGTGTGTATATATATATATATATTGTTACTTCTGAGAAGCATATCTAGGAGGACCATGTTATTTATTAGATAAAGGTCACAAAAAAAAGGTGCTCAACACCAATGATAAAGTTTTTTAAAATTAGTAGAATATTTTGTTGGTCATTATCAGCAATTTATCAACTACAAATGAGGAAGATGGACTCAACAAGTTTTTAGGAAATAAAATTTAGGAAAACCACATAAAGAGTGTCTAGAGAACCTTCAATGGAGGTTCTGCTGCGAATATGATTGATGAGTCTAGCAATGTTTCCTATGGAACCTGCATCAATGCAGTACTTTGGCACACTATCAGTTTTATGATCATCGCTTCAGTCTAAGTATCTGGGTATAGATACATGTTGCAAGCGTCTCTGTTCAAAAAACAAGGTCAGTTGATACAAATTTAGTGGGCATAGAAAGAAAGAAAGAAAAAAAGAAAAAGAAAAGAGAATCTTATGGTATGGCAGCAACCAAATTTAGTGAAGAAAGCAGACACTCAACATAATATCCTTGAAGATGAACATAAGAAATTAGTAATAACATGATTAAGCCAAACACAATTGACTTAAATGTGTTTTGGGACACAATGGTGGACTAGATATTTTTTTTTGAAATGTTTTTTTTTTTTTTGAATTTGCCGGAAAGATTTAAATGAGCTCTTTGCCCATCCATTTTTCTGGAGCTCAGGGGAGCATGAATCTGTGTTGATGTCAGTGCATATGCACATGCAACGTCCTCAAGCATCGAAACCCCCCAACATACTGATGGGAGGGCTAGATTTATTGGCCGATGTACTCAAAAATGAATGGGACAAGCAACAAAAACATTGGAATGGTCCATGGACGGCGGCTTTCCAAAGTGGGTTTATGATTCCAAAACTACGGAAAAACAAGCACGATGATTTTGAAACGATCATTCAATTGACTAGGAATCTCATGTCACATCACAACAACCATGACTTTTACCTTTATGGGGTTGGTCTCCGAGTTTGTGTTTTGAAATTTGTATATATGTTGTTGATGTATTTACTAGTTTTCCCCATTTTTTGTGCAGAAACAATGGAACTACAGAAAAGATCTATACATCCATTTTATGAATCGAACACACAATCTACGTGTGGCTCTCTTTGACACTATCCAGACAGTCCAAAAAAAGTTTGAGAGGGGGTTATCAAGGTAAGTTCATTTATTACCTGAAGTCAAAATTTAAACATGACTTTATATAGATTTAGAACAACACAACCACTCTAGGGTTTTAGAAATATATTCTTTCAATAACTCATTCAAAGGTAAAGATTTATGTTCCACAATCTCCATATATATATATATAGATAAGACTAACTGATGTTGGACGGTTATCAACAAATTCGATCAACAAACTAATTGATTCCGAAACCAGAATTTATGAAGAATTGATCTAAAAGAGAAGATAAAAAATATCATGAAGAGCAAGAAAGAATAAGGAAAGAGAACAGGGGTCACGCCTCACAACCCTAACACAAAACGGCCACAACCCACTCGATGGTATTATCTGTCGGAATATGCGAATGTATTAGGATCCTATATATTGTGTGTTACGAGATATTAGGCTAATTTTCTCCTATTTTGATTTTTATTTAATTCTGCCTTCCTAAATTGTAATCACTCCAATTCAGTATATATATATATATATATACAAGGCTAATAATGAATTATGATCAAGCCATTCAATTCATTCTCTTCTTCCTGTTTGGTACTGTCATAAAAACTTGTTTGATAATTTTTTTGGTTTATAAATGGTTGTCTCAGTTTATAAATTTGAGAAAAATACATTGGTTTTTAAACAAAAATTTAAAAATTTGACTAACAAATAAATTTTTTTCAAATAATTTTTTTTTTCAATTATTTTTTTTCCATTTAATTTTTTTTTTTCAATTATAATGTGTATGATCCTATTGTCATAAATAATAAAAAATAAATATAAATATTTTAGGCCTAAACAAACATATTTTTTAGTTTATGTTTTTAAAATTTTTCAAGCATTTTGTTCAAACCAAACGCGTTTGTTGTTTATGTTTTTCTAAAAATAAACAAAAATTAGTTTATAAAATTTTTGTAAACATAAACCAAAAACCTAAATGTTACCAAACGCTACCTAACTAAAACTATTACATAAAAGGCATATATATAGCCAACATAGAAAACCCTAATTACGGTATCAAAAAGTGATTATGAACCTAACAAAACTCTAAATTATATTAAGTATCACAAATAAATAAAATGATAAAATCTTTAAGATTTCCTTTATCCCATGCCTTTCTGTTCCAGATCACTAACATAGCTAATAAGGAAATTAAAGAAAAATGAGGAATAAATAAATTTGGACACAAAATCTCCTAAATATTCTAGGGTTTCATTTGACGCCTCTTGTGCCTATAATAAGTCTTTATTCCTTTCCTTTCCTTATCCCCATCATTTCTCCCCGGCGAAAAAAGACTCTCATCTGGAGAGTAATGACTAATGTACTGCTAAAAAACATGTGGAATCAAGATGCGGAAATCATCCTTGGTGATCCATGTATTCTCAGCAGCGGGCTGATTCTTCCAACACACAAGATAATGTCAAGAACCACCACGGGAAGAACCAATATCCTGAGTGTCAAGGACCTCCTCAATCTAATTAGCATGAAACTGTGGAGGTGGTGGAGGACGAGGAACAACAACTAGCACATATAGAGAAGGAAAGTCAATAGGCAAACCTGCAGACAAAGTGGACGGCTCAAAGGTACCTCGGTAAGGAAACAAATCCTCAACATTAACAAGAAGACTAATATTCATATCCGAAGGCAAATCAAGCAAATGTGCATTAGGTCCAAGTTTGCGAATGATACGAAAAGTGGCTCAAGCATGAAGTTTTTTGAAAGAATGTTTAGGATGGTAAAGGACTTTTACCAGTAGACCGATTGACTGAACTATTGTAAGCAAACTCCGTAGTTCGCAACATTAAATCCCAATTTCTTGGTTTTTCACCCACAATGCACCGAAGCAAATCACCCAAACTCCTATTAACAATTTCAGTTTGCCCATTAGTTTTAGGGTGAAAAGCTGAAGAAAATTGCAATGTAGTGCCAAACAATTTCCAAAGTGTCTTCAAAAAATAACTAACAAACTTGACATCCCAATTAGACACAAAGGGTACAAATTCTCAAGCCAAAGGAAGGTGGATTCTCCATTGCCATAGCTTCTCTTCTTAAACTGAAAAGTTTTCTCACTGTCCAAGACACATAAGAAGGCACCTGCATAGTTCAGAAGCATTTAGATTTGATTATATGTGTGTGAATCCACTTCACCCATAGGATATCTGACTTTTGCAAAGAGCCCAATGGAGTTACGTAATTGCAGCTCAACTCCAATGAATACTCGTTTTAATTCCCATACCTCCATCTTTTGGACAGCAAACATGTTCCCAACGGACTTTAGCATGAGCAAAGTGATTATCAGCCCCTTACCAAAAGGAAGTCTCTCATAATGGCCTCTATATCTTTCAAGATTTGCTTAGGAAGGATAAAAATTGACCAACAAACTTGAATGAACAAGTTGGAGCCTACCACCATAAGATAAAAATTTAGTTGTCCAGCTGCAGATTCTATTTATCATTCTTTCCTTAAGCTGCTCACATGCAGCTCTCAGTCCAGAAGTAATTAGAGTGACACCTAAAGTATTTAACCGGAAGTTTTCCTCCTGGTAGCAAAGTGGACAATAGATCAGCCTTGGCTTCAGTACTAACTCCACAAAAAAATACCAAACCTTTTTGAAGATTAGGTTGAAGACCAGACAATAGCTAGATTTGAGATAACACACACTGAACAATTTGAAAAGAACCCCTATCTGCTCCACATAGAATGAACAGATCATCAACAAATGCCAATTGTACAAGATTTAAGGCTTGACATTTCCGATGGAAAGTAAAACCACCTTCTCTCTCTTTGCTGCAACATGCTGTAGAAACACTCCATCACAATGAGAAACGAGCACGGGGACATAGGATCACCTAGCCTTAGACCCCATTTTGCAGGGAAAAAAAAAGTAATTCTCCATTTATTACCACCGAGTACATAACACTGGAAACGCACACCTTGATCCAACCAACAAATTGAGCAGGGAATCCCATATGTATCATAGTTACCAACAAAAATTCCCAATCGACCAAGTCCTAGGCCTTCATTAAATCAATTTTGAACACGCACCTTGCTGGTCCTTCATTCTTGTGATATCCTCTAACAATCTCGTAAATCAATAAAATGTTGTCAACTATTGATCTATTCTTAACAAATGCTGATTGTGAGGATTGATAATGTTAGGGAGAATTCTCTGCATTCTTCTAGCAATAATCTTTGCAACACACTTGTAAGTAACATTATAGGCCTAAAATCCTAAACCATAATGGGGTGTTTGATCTTAGGAACCAAGGTGATAGCGGTACTATTCCAAGCTCTTAACAAATGGCCCGAGGAGAAAAATGCTTTAACCAATGTTCTCAAATCCTGCCCAACCACATCCCAGTTTGCTTGGTAAAATTTGGCATTAAATCCATCTGGTCCTGGAGCTTTCTCAGCTTGAATGGAGAACAAAGCATTCTTAACTTGCAGCTCTGTTACCTCCTTAATCAAATCTGCTTTAATATCTTTGTGAATTTGAGGCAGATGCAGAGAGCTAATAAAATCCAGAGCATCAGAACTATGAACCATCCTACAGCCCAACGAATTCTTATAGAAAGTCGACCAAAATTGCTCATATGATAAAATTAAACAAAAACACAAAGAAAGCTAAAATACTTATTTCTTTAACTATTTTAATGTACAATCTTACCAACTGTTAATGTTTGTAAGTTTTTCATTCTGTAATAAAATTTTATGTGTTTCCCATAGTTGCATTCGAAAGATAACAATAGAAGAATGATAGTTTTTTTTTTTGACTTTTGTATCAAATAGTGTTTATTTTTTTTGTAGAATTGAATTCCTAAGACTGTTAATTATGAAGAATTTAAATATGTTATGCAATTATGATCTTTTTTATGTATTTGTATTCATTTTGTCATACCTTGTGCTACATATGTTTGTTCATTGAATCATTTATGGTGCATATTGATTGCAAGACTGGATACAACAAATTGGAAAGCTACTTTCAATTCAATGTTACCTAAAGGTTTGAATACGTAGTAATGAATTAAAAATAAATAAATAATACCAATAGGTCCTACTTTTGGGAATTATTACCCATTAAGTCTTATTGATAAGTGGCAGAGTGGCCTTGTTGCTACAATCCACTGAGATTCAGCCTTGCGTCGCTCCGATTCATCGCTCCGATTCATCCCTTCCCTTTCCCAGTCTCTCCTGCGACCGGCCTACGTTGTTGCCAAATCATAGATATTGCCCGACTTCAAAATGATTGTTATCATTAGACGTGCGTTGCGTGCAAAGGCGTGCGCTCAACTCGCGCACCGCGGTCAAAAGATCGTCACGCGGGAGGTGCACAAGCCACGCTGCACAGGCCGTGCGCAGGCCAGGCTACCCAAACCACGTGCAGGCCAGGCTGCTAGGGCCGCCTGCAGGCTAGGCCGCGTAGTCTGCATGCAGGCTAGGTTGCCATGCTGTCTAGGCTGTGGGCATGCCATGTTGCCAAGGCCGTGCGCAGGCCAGACATCCAGGTTGACTAGGCCGCGGGCACACCTTGCTGCCAAGTCGGCCAAGCCACGAGCATGCCATGCTGCAACGTCAACGGTGCGAACCTGGATGTGCATGCCAACCTGGCTTGTGCGCGGGCTCTAGGCAACATGGCATGCTCGCGGCCTAGCCAACCTGGCTGCCTGGCTTGCGTGCGGCCTTGGCAACATGGCGTGCCCGTGGCCTAGGCAACATGGCAGCCTGGCCTGCGCGCGGCCTTGGCAGCATGCCAGCCTGGCCTGCACGCGTCCTTAGTAGCGGTCATGCGTTGTGGCCCTGGTTGTGCTGCCTTGGCTTCAGCTTGCGCTGCTGCCTGGCTTCTCTTTGTTTTCGCACAATTGGTCATCGTGCTTGGTTGAAAAGTCAGTGGCGCGAAGCTACCTTGCGCTGGATTATGACTGAATGCCTAAGTCAAAATCTGAGCTAGAAGCGACGCATGCGCCTGCTGCCCGTTTGCCAACCCGCAGTAGGGGCCGTCCGGCCCCCAAAAGGCAAATCCCTATGAATATTTTGCTTGAAGTTGAGAAATGCTTTCAAGTTCCTGCTCTATGTTCTTATTGGAAGTGAGTATATACATATATATATCCATTCATCAATCCCATGTATCTGTTTGTTCAAAATATTTATTAACATTGTTCATCCAACAACGGCAAATTCAATACTCAAAATGTATTCTTTTTTGCCTTGTTCTAGATCATGAAGCTCCTCTAGAAACTGAAGCATTGGAGCAAGAAACTCATGTTAGATTTGAAGGAGTTTCAGAAACAGCTCTTGCCCTCGAAGAAATGATAGTTGGAGGGGAGGTAAAAGAAAAGAAGAAGAATATGCTCTACAACATCACAGTGGAATTGGAAATTCCAGGTGTACCAAAAACCTCTCTCAAGACTATGATGTCATGTCTGTTCAACCAGGAGACGATGACTCAGATGCAATCTACTCAGTATCAGAAGGATTTGACGATATTGAACAAATTGGTGGAGGCCTTGTGGAATCAATTTATATGCTGCGAGAAGCAGATCAATATTATTGGCTTGGAAAGGAAGGAGGGTACAGGGCACAAGTCAAAGTTTCCCCGGAGATCTATCATTGCAACCATGAATGGGATCAACAGAACCCATTACCGGAGGACAGAAGACCAGAATGTACCACATGCAAAAGAGATTTAACTTCCTATTCAAAGGCCTTTTGCAACAAATGTAATGCTTTAACATGCTCATTATGTGCTAAGCATTATTTCAATCTCACGACGTTCATCACCCGAAAAGCTCCGATTCCTCATAACCAACGGCTCCATCCGTAGCTCGGATTGGCCTAGATGCTTGTGGTGTGAGTCTGATAAATTGCACAGCATCAAAACCTTCATATTCACTCATTGGATAACATGTGCGACAAAGTTTTGCCTTCTTTTTATCCTTCTTCTTCCGGTCACTCAATGGATATGATGATTCAGAATCAGACTCTGGTGGCATCATTCTTTGTCGGTGTTGATGTCCTGATGGGTGTCTAGATTCAGCATCCGAATCAGGCAGATTTTGCCTGCGTCGTCTTTCTGCTATTTCACCAGTTTCCGTTCGCCGTTGAAACTCTGAATAACGGGTGGCCGCCTGGTCAAGAGTTTCTTTGAAAACATTGGGTTGCTCTTCAAAGAAAAGAATTGTCTCTTGTCGATTTTGGGCTTCATTCCGGATGGAATTGGTGTCATCTTCAGAATCCATAACTTCATTATCATTTTGATCATAATGAACTGGATCTGCTTGTTGAGCTGCAACATAATCTCCAAATCGTAAACTGAAATTTCCGCCTGGAAGATTTCGAGATACGGCAGTTGTTGGTTGTTGTGGATGTATCCGTCTAACTGGTGGGCGGATAATCCAATTTCGTCCTCGAAGGATATCAGTGGAAACCTGTTCTCCAGGAATTGCCTTTACACCGCGAGATGTAAGAAATTCAGTAACTCCTTGTATTTCATAAGCAAAACCAACATTAGGAGTGTTGGATAATCTTCCCACTAATCCTCGTGTGATTAACAAATTGGCTTCTCCTCCTTGCCAATTCTCATAGAGAAAATATCAAGGATGCATGCAATAATGCCGAGTACACTGTTAGCCTCATCGACGCATTATTGGTGTCTTGATGATTCTCCACTGACACAACTTGACTACCAGGATATGACAGGTTCATAACTCTGGTTCACACAATTACATTGCCAGATTATGACAGGTTCATAATTCAGGCACATTATTGCAAAATATCTATAATACGACAAACTGATATTATTCCAACAGTTTACCCGTACTTCTTCCAAGGCCTGTGCTTCCAAAGCCTTTATTGTTTCTGGGTGATCTTGCTTGCCAGTCATCTCTTTCAGCATTTTGAAGATCCTGTTATTGGTATCAGAGCTAGTTTTGTTATGGCTATTATAGCGTAAACACTTATCAGGGTAGTAAGGCCTCTGTTGTGAATGATTATCATACTTAATTTAATCATTTTCTATATAATTATTGAAATCATTTTTCCAGGGCAAAGGTAACCGTATATTAACCAAGGCAAAGGTTATTAATGTTTCTAAATTTATAAAAAGGTATAGTATGATTTCTGTATTTAAATTCTGAAGGCAGTATAATCCTTGAAGTATAAGAAGCTGAAAGGTGGGAAGATGTATATAGGGGATAATTGGTTCAGAATCCCTTATACATATAGTTTTCCCTTCTGCCTTGGAGGACGCATTCAAATGATCATCGGATGTAATTTTATCCGAGCAATGTATGGCGGAGTCAGAATTGAAGGTGATAATGTTACATTCTACAAGAATGTAATAACAATCCAGACTCGACAGACAGTGAACCTCCTAGAAGGACTTGAAGAAGAAGAAGACTTTTCGATAGACCATTATTATGATCCCTCAACTGAGTGGATATTCCATTCCGAAAAGATCAGCCCTGGTTTTGAGCAGAAATTCTCAGCAACAATGGAGAAGCTCAAAAATTATGGAATCATAGGTGATGATCCTTTTTTCATACCACTCTTTAATATTTTGTTCCCATATATTCATTATGTCATATCTTCTGGTCTGAGTAAAAATATATTAACTAGTCTGAGCTATCTTGGTTTCTTATTTACCAAAAGGAAGCACTATAATCTATATTTAGGGATCAAGGTCCAAGTATTCCTTACCAGGATAAGTTGTTGTTCACCACAGGGTTTTACTGGGCTTACTCCTCTCTGCCAGATATAGGGCCTGCGTCTTTTACTCCAAACTTATACTTCAAGGATTATACTGCCTTCAGAATTTAAATACAGAAATCATACTATACCTAACTTCTCAAGTATCAAGTGTAGTTATTTGGACTTGTCTTGATGCTTGAAACTATAAGCTTAGAAACCTATTTATAGAGAAAATATCAAGGATGCATGCAATAATGCCGAGTACACTGTTAGCCTCATCGACGCATTATTGGTGTCTTGATGATTCTCCACTGACACAACTTGACTACCAGGATATGACAGGTTCATAACTCTGGTTAACATCAATTGGCAAGTACATAATTCCGGCTAGAGATAGAGCACTAATCGCTACTGGTATAGCACTAGAAATACCATGTGGGCTCTATGGAAGAATCGCTTCAAGATCAGGACTTGCCCTATACCATGGAATTGATGTTGGTGCTGGAGTAATCGATACTGATTATCGTGGAGAAGTAAAAATACTACTTTCTTTAACCCAGGTTTGCTTAGAAAACCAGTCCTGGAACAAAGGTAATCCTCTAAGTCAGCTCAGATCAATAGAGGAGACCCTCCAACAACTCAAGAAGGCGCTAATTGAATGAGTCACAATAATTTGACGTATCTTGGTGTCTTGATGATTCTCCACTGACACAACTTGACTACCAGGATATGACAGGTTCATAACTCTGGTTCACACAATTACATTGCCAGATTATGACAGGTTCATAATTCAGGCACATTATTGCAAAATATCTATAATACGACAAACTGATATTATTCCAACAGTTTTTCTCAGATGCCTGAGTATTGATTAAAGTGGAATAATACTGACCGACACTATTGACAGCTGTTATTTAGACTGGACCATGCCCACCACGTTCTTCCATTATTAAAGAGATAAGCATGGAATAAGATCCACCTGTTGATCTTATCAGTAACGAAACATTCTCATCAGCATGACGAGATCAAATAATTCTCCGTCAATTTCATTCAGTTCACAGGTCTGCTGGTGTACTTCTGGCAGTTTGTCAGTGTATTGGTTGTCACTGCAAGCGGCTCTAGCGATGGCTTCAAGCTTGAGCTGCTGGATCTTGCGTAACTGTTGAACTGCTGTTCTTGCCTGTTCAATGGCGTTATCCTCTTCCTCGGCGAGACTGGCCTGGATTTCTGCCATTTCATCAAAAGGGATTCCTGAGTCGTAAGTGAACCTATCTTCAATTTGCTGCAGAAGAGATTGGTATCGTACAGCAATGGGATGAAATTGACAGACACGATCATATATGACAGCAATATTATGAGCTAGTTCTTTAGGTGTTGGCTTACTGGATGCGGCAAGATCAAGGTAGTTCAGGCGTGAAGTTTCAGATTTTTCATACCACTCTTTAATATTTTGTTCCCATATATTCATTATGTCATATCTTCTGGTCTGAGTAAAAATATATTAACTAGTCTGAGCTATCTTGGTTTCTTATTTACCAAAAGGAAGCACTATAATCTGTATTTAGGGATCAAGGTCCAAGTATTCCTTACCAGGATAAGTTGTTGTTCACCACAGGGTTTCACTGGGCTTACTCCTCTCTGCCAGATATAGGGTCTGCGTCTTTTACTCCAAACTTATACTTCAAGGATTATACTGCCTTCAGAATTTAAATACAGAAATCATACTATACCTTTTTATAAATTTAGAAACATTAATAACCTTTGCCTTGGTTAATATACGGTTACCTTTGCCCTGGAAAAATGATTTCAATAATTATATAGAAAATGATTAAATTAAGTATGATAATCATTCACAACAGAGGCCTTACTACCCTGATAAGTGTTTACGCTATAATAGCTATAACAAAACTAGCTCTGATACCAATAACAGGATCTTCAAAAACAAAGTAAAGAACTAGATAGAAACTTGATAGAAAAACTTTACTTACAGCGGAAACTTTGCTACAAAAGATAAAGATTATGATCCCTCAACTGAGTGGATATTCCATTCCGAAAAGATCAGCCCTGGTTTTGAGCAGAAATTCTCAGCAACAATGGAGAAGCTCAAAAATTATGGAATCATAGGTGATGATCCTATGAAATACTGGTCCAGAAATCAGATCACCTGTAAACTTGATCTGAAAAATCCAGATTTCACAATCAATGATCGGCCAATGAAGCATGTCACCCCGTCAATGAAAGAAAGCTTTTCAAAGCATATTGAGCAGCTTTTGCAACTCAAGGTGATAAGAGCAAGTAAAAGTCGGCATCGGACAACGGCGTTCATTGTAAATTCTGGCACTTATATTGATCATGTCACGAAGGAAGAAAAACGTGGCAAAGAACGCATGGTGTGTAATTACAAGCGATTAAACGACAATACACACAAGGATCAATATAGTCTACCTGGGATTAATACTATTATGGCAAAAATTGGCCATAGTAATATTTACTCCAAGTTTGACCTAAAAAGTGGTTCTCCAAATCGTAAACTGAAATTTCCGCCTGGAAGATTTCGAGATACGGCAGTTGTTGGTTGTTGTGGATGTATCCGTCTAATTGGTGGGCGGATAATCCAATTTCGTCCTCGAAGGATATCAGTGGAAACCTGTTCTCCAGGAATTGCCTTTACACCGCGAGATGTAAGAATTTTGACAAGAGAAAGTACTTGCAAAAATCCAAGCATTGTAAATGCTACTTATGTGGAGAAGAAGGACATTATGCACGAGATTGCACGAAGGAGAATCTCTTTTGCATGTGGTACATTCTGGTCTTCTGTCCTCCGGTAATGGGTTCTGTTGATCCCATTCATGGTTGCAATGATAGATCTCCGGGGAAACTTTTAAAGGGACTGAAGATTTTATTGCAGTCTACATTGACGACATTCTTGTCTTCTCTCCAGATGAAAGATCTCACTCAAAGCATATCCAGACTATGCTGGAACCTATATTTGTCTTTATCATTGGACTGTCATTTAGAAGGCATCTTGCTAATGCCTTATATTACATGAACTGCCGGCCTTATGAACTGGTTATTTATGTTAATTGTTTACTAATTACTAATGTTTGAGTTATATTTTTTGTTATTATGTCAAGTCTCTGTTCTGGTTGCATTTTCTCTTATTGGAATTTTTTTGCTTTCTATTTGTATAGTGTGTATGCTGTAATATAGGTTTGTTTATACTCAGGAGGATTTTGTTCTCTTGAAAATTTAATATTGATGGAAATGAACTCTTTTTTTTACATGCTTAATTAGCTGCCTAGATTAAGGTTCCATGGTTACATCTGAATTTGAATTTTGTGTTTACTTGTAATTAGGATTAACATGTCAATGGGTTCAAACAATGAGGCTGGATTCTTGCAAAATAAACGATGCAAATGTGGGAAAAAAGCAACAGTGTCCATATCAGAATTAGAGAGAAATCCAGAGAGGTTGCATTTCAAGTGTGCAGATAAGATTTGTGACTACTATGCGTAGGGAGCGGCTCCTACTGGGAATGCATCAAATATCCAAAGGAGAAGTAAAGCTGTTCATATGAAGGATGAAGCTGAGAGGGTATGATTATGATTTTGAGAGAAACAATGAAGTTATGAATAGATTGGAGCGACTTGAGGCAAACCAAGAAGCTATGAAATTCATTGGGCTTGTTTGGTTTGTTTTTGGGAGAGTTGTTTTTGAAAAAAAATTTGGGAAGAGAGTTTAGAAATTTTTTTGGTTTGTTTGGTTGTATATTTTGGGGGAGTTGTTTTTTTTGGAGTTTGGGATGATTTGATATTTTGGGAGAATTTGAATAAATGTGTGTGAGAGAAAAAGTGATTGAGAATGAGAGATGAGAGAGAAAAAGTGATTGATTGATGTATAAGAAAGAGAAAGTGATTTTGGAAATTTTTTGAGAAAAACTCAAATCAAACAATTTTTTAAAATTTTTTTTCTAAAATTCATCTTCCAAATGCAAACCAAACATACCCATTATCTTTACAACCATAGTGATGATTGGTTTTACCATGCTAATGGTGCTGCTTTAGTTAATGTAACCACTTCTAGTGAATGTAATCACTACTTGTAGAACTTGTATTTGGGTTGTAAAGCTTACACTATGGGTTTTGATATGTGCATGTAAAATCCAAACAATGCTTAATTAATAAAGTTACCTATGCTATGTCAATTGTGTTGATTCTAAATCTTAGTTATTTGAGAATTGTAGATTCCTAACAAAATTTGGATCAAATTGGGTGTTATTTATAATTAACACCTAACATATTCCCCAGAATGCCCACAGTGACAACACCCCTTTATTTTCCTATTACATACTTAAGTGTAGTGTAAAACTATTGAATTCAAAATAATATCATGCTTAATCACTTTCTACTTCTTCCAATTCTCAACCTTCTCTAGGACCCGATACATTTTTCAGAATGACTACTCCAGCCTATCTTTGTAGTTCTAAATACACAAAATATTATAGAATTGAGCTGCACCATGTACAAAAATATGCACACAAGGTTTGTCATACAAGTTTGTCAATCAATATGCACACAAAGTTTGTCATACAAGTTTGTCATATGAATGCACTCTTGAGGCACAAGGTCATGATTATGGTGTTCAATAAAATCACAAACAACATATGTTCCTAAATTTCTATCTAACTTGATACAAAATGGGGCACCACAACTACATCTCACCTCTTGTCTTGGAAATTTTACTAGTGGATCTCACTTGTCAATACTCTGACTTCTCTCTTTGTAACATACAAAAGTCCGTGAAGTTATTTCCTTAGTGTGTTTGTTCTTGTGTGCATACGCCTTTCTAATACTAAAGTCCACCTTTCCGCTATAGGTATTGTAAAAGTCATATGCAACTTGTTCAAATCAAATGACATGCCAATTTCGGCTTCCAACCACAATTGGCCAACTCATTAATAACATTATTTTCTTCCATTACTTGCAATTCAGTAGCATACAAATAATAACAACAATAATAATAATAATAATAAACATAAATAAAAATTGAATAATGTAATCAAAGTAATTAGGCTTGGGATATTGTTAGTCTGGAAAGTTATATATTTTTTAGGGTAAATTACAAACACGCCCCTTGAGGTTTACTTAAATTACGAATGACCCCATGTAATTCTAAAAATTACATTATGCCCCCTAAGATTTTTAATTTCATAACAAATAGGCCCTTTTGTTAATAAATCATCAAGTTAATTAATAGATTTTAATAATGTTAAAATTTTATTTCAATTAATAATTCAGATAATTTTATTATTGTATAGGTGAACAGTTAGAAATTTCACTTTTTCAATTAATTTTGTTAAATAACAAATTCTAATAAGGGAGGTATTTATAATTTTTCAAATCACAAGGAGCAATTCGTATTTTAAGCAAACCTCAGGGGATGTATTTGTAATTTACCCTATTTTTTATATAGGCTTCTTAGAGTAATGTTATGGAATATCTGTTCTTTGAAAAATAGGACCATATTTTTGTTCAATTTCATTTTGCATGTCAAAATTTCTGTTACTTTAATTGAAAAGCACTGGGATGCTTTAACTATCTTCATAGGGGAAGTTCACAAATATAAGTCCCAAAACAAACATTTCAAAAATACAGCATCAATTTCACAATTCAATTTCCACAAAAATATCACACAAATTTAATACAGTAGCAAAGCTCAATGGGTTAGAAAAAAATTAGGCATATAGCTTTTGATAGAGCAAAATGGCGTAAAAAAAGATTGGTGTAGTCAACCCTACTTAATTGAGACATGACTTAGATTAATGAAGACGATTTTAGGAATTTTATAGGAAAACAAAATTTCTAATTTTTTATGAAATCCCTACAATATACGTTAATTTTGTATATGCATAACATTATAATAGGGAAATAGTGCAAAGAGGGTAAGAATCAATCAACAAGCAGAGAGTATAATAATGATCAAATTTACTTGATTGCCTCAGAAAAACTCATATTCATCAAAAATCAACAGCAGCCCTCTAACCCAACATTCATATATATGTATATATGTATATAACAGTAAGAAAAATCTGAAATGATGAAATGGACCTCGTCATGGCCGCAATCTCGCCTTGCCATTGCGTCGCGTCCCTCTGCCGTCATGTCGCATCCCTCTGCCGTCCTCTATCCTTCGTCTTCACATCCCTCCACCATCTCTCTCAGTTCGTTTCTCTCTCTGTCGTGTTCCTCCGTCATCATCTCTCCGCCTCTCTCTCTCTCTCTCAATCTCTTTGTCTAGCATCTCTCTCTCTCGTCTCTGTTAAGGCTAAACAGATGAGATGATAGAGAAAGATGAAAATGAAAAAAAAACAGGAAACTCAAATTTAAAAAAAAAAAAAAAAAACTAGACAAAATGACGTCGTTTTGGCCAAAAACGACGTCGTTTTGGCGAGGGCCGCAGGAAATAGTGGCAGATGATCCTCACTCATAGAAGAATGACCAATTGGCTCTTGTTTCACTTTCCATGATCCCATATGCAATTGGAAACAACTCGACATTACCATCTAAACCAACTGCACATAGTAATACTCCACCATATGGGCCTTTGAGATGACACCCATCAACACCAATAAAGGGTCTACACTCCTAAGAAAGCCAACTTTCATTGTTTCATGGCAAACAAACAATCTCTCAAAACAAGGATTTAATTGGGGTGGTTCAGTGTTAGTTTGTTTAGGGTGAGATTGTTTAGTATGCCTCTCAATTTTTATCGAAGTTACCATGATTGCTCCTTCTAAGGTAAATGAGGGCACTTCTAAGTATCAAGTTCTAGGTATGTGGTGCTTCTTGGTAGGAGGGCTCACTCCTGTGGCTTTTGGGATCTTTATGGAATTCCTTGTAAACATACAATCAGCAATCAATTACATGAGAATGAACAAAGAAGAATTTTGCCATGCCTACTTTACTAAAGAAAGGTATGTACAAGCATATGATATGATTGTTCATCCTATGCTTGATGAGTCCATGTGGCCTGCAGCTATGGGTGATCCCCTAGAACCTCCTCCACTTCGTCGTCTACTTGGTCGATCCCCCCCAAAAAAGGAAGAGGGGCAGGTGAAGGTGAAGGTGAAGGTGGGAGTATTATTCAGAGAAAGCTGCAAACCATTTCATGTTCTAACTGCAACCAATTTGAGCATAACAAAAAAACCCTCCAGTTGCTGCTTCAGTTAGAGGGAGACGGACTAATAGAGGAAGAGGAAATGATGGTGGAAGAGGAACTAATGTTAGAGGGATGAGAAGAGCGAGCTGTTAAGGAAAGGGGACATGGAAATCTAACTATAAGAAAAAGGGTATACATTATAATTTTGTATCTAGCTTCAATTCTATTGCTTAATTTTTATTTAATTGTACAATTATTATCATTTTTTTAGTCTTTCATGAGGTTTTAACTCAAGTGGGAACTTCAACTCACAAGGAATTTGCAGCTGGAAGTGGGAGGTCTGCTGGAATTGGAAGTTCTACACTTGGAAGGTTTGCCCCTGAAGGGTCTGCAATTGGTGGTTCTACACTAGAAGTTCCAATACAATCTAGTGTGATTGGGAGGCCCCCACATAGGGAAGGCAGATCGGCTGGAAGTTCTGTACCTACAGAATGGTCACTATTCTGATGGTATTGATGTTTGAAGTCCTTAGTTTTGTATATCTTTTTGTGACTTTTTGTATGGCTATACATGAAGGATTTTTTGGAATGTTGTGGGCATTGTATAGCACTAACTCAAAACTTTTTAGAACGTGTCCACTTTTTGATTGTTGTTTAAATGGGTGATTGATTTGCACAGCAATACTTTCATGTGCAGTTACTCTTGGATGTTACTTTTTGAATATGCAACTCAATGAACAACTTGATGGATTTTACTTTTTGAATATGGATGAAAATTAACGGAATTTGATTCTCAATGTTGGCTCACCAATGTGTTATTTGAATCACATGGTGTGTTTTATTTATTTGACCATTGTCAATGTACTAGTCATTGACATGTTCGTCCTATACAAACATTTTATCAAACAGTTAGTATGGATAACATTCTGGATGAAAACTAAATAAGTTAGCAATATTTGAGCAATACAATATATACTTATTTTGTTTCCTATCTTTGGGTTGAGTAGTTGGTGACTTATTCAAGTTGCTGCACTTGCTCAAAAGTGTTGTTGAACTTTTATTTTTGTTGGTCTAGACTTGCATAATTTACCTACACTAAAAGCTTTTGGATGTTCATATGCATCAACTATCGCTGCAGAAAACCATTTGCTTATGTATGTATTTGTAATGGAATTGAAAGTCCATCTGATTT